GAGCTAGAAAATAAAAGCTTCACTGCGAATTCTTCCAGAACTTCCTTTCTTCAGACATGAGTATGTCAGAATGTTTGCCTACAATTTTACACCATGGAACACTGTAGAAGTTTTCTAAATTCTTAAAAATTAAAGCCATAACATTGTCAGGTTTTTTCGCGTGAACTGGTTGTAACTTAAGGTTTAGATATTCCAGTCCTAGTGGGAACAAAGCTTTCCCAGAGGACCTGGTGGCCAAATTCATGCCCTGCATCTTCTGTTGAGAGCATGCTGTGCTCTATCTCTTTGAACTCCTGCCTTATGCACTTTTAGATTAACTTTCAAGTGCATTTCTGTTGAACAGTGAAGGCAGATAATGAAATAGTGTAAGTTAATGAAATAGTGTAAGAAAGAATGGTTTCAGGTAAAACCAACTCACTCAGCCAAGCTTCAAAGTCACTGTTCATATATTAACTTGTTGATAATTCTCAACTGCAGAACTCCTCATTTGATGTCCTCTTTGGTATTCAGTTTGTGACAGAAATCCCGTGAAAAAAAATGTTATCCCAGGAAAGTAATGGTGTTACCAAAGCTAGGTGGCTTGTTAAGAACTAACTTTGTATTTCAGTGCAGAGAAAACTTGTCTGCCACCTCCCTAAATATGGCTCTTACCTTCTCAAGTGTTCACTTTGCTAACTCTTTTTTTGAGGCTTAACCTGTAACAAAAATGCCATGTGTTCAGTAAATGACAGAGTTTGGAGGCTTGTGGTGAGACTCTCTTTTGCTCTGAGGAAAGCAGTCTTTCTTATGTCTCTTTATTCAAAACTTACTACAGTTGGGGGCATACTGAGGACTCTCTACTTTGACTTGTGATTGTATAAGCTTAGAATTGCAGAGTTCTCACAGTGAGAAAGGACCTCTGGAGACTGAGACCAACTCTGCTCTAGTGGGGGCAGCTTCTTTAGCTCAGTGTCCTTTCTTGTACAAGATCCTACTCCTGCAAAGAGTGTGCAGAATCAGTATGATGATTCCTGGCTGTAAACGCTCTTAATGTTGCTTTAGGTTCTAAATGACACGAAGAAGCCTGTTTGGTGAACTTCACATGTACAAACCTGCTGTCTCTCAAAGCTTGTGGTTCTGCTGTCATGGTGAGGGGCTTAATTGCTCTATTATTGCTCTTTCTTAAAAATGGAACCTGTGTTAGAGCAATTAAGCACATCACCAAGCTAGAAGTAGTAACTAGCTGGCTAATCTTCTTAAGAGAAAAGTGATAATTTCAGCATGAGTTCTCTTGTGACTTCTGACAGTTGGCAAGCATCCCAAAGAACTCATCTTTAAAAACATTACAGAATTCACAACACTTTACTTATTAATTGTACAGAAGCTATGATTATTACTGAGCAGACATTGAGGAGACAGATACACATGGAAAGTGTCATCTTTGCAGGCCTAGTAAGAGTTATTAAGCCATAATTCATTGCTTTTCAAGTGATAATAAATGCCATGTGAATTTGTCAGGGCATCAAGTCTGATTTCTCTTATGATGAGAGAAAGCTATAAAATCTCCTTATTTTTGCCAAGCTTTAATCCTATCTTTTTTTAGAAAATAAATTTGTTAAATAGTGTGAACTAAGAGCCTTGAAGAAATGAATGGGCTTTATAAAAGGGAGTTTATAACTCAAGTCTCACTCATTGAACTTTTAAAGCACAGTGTGACACAGTATTACCTGCACTAAGTGTCTTATGCCTCAGAATTGAAGCAAGGTATATTGGACAATGCTGAAACTCTGCAAGGATCTAAGTAGTTGAGTTACTATCCCTGAAGATGTTTAAACAACATGTAAAAGTGGTGCTTCAGGACATGGTTTAGTGGTGGACTTGTCAGTGCTGAGTTTATGGTTGGACTTGATGATCCTAAAGGTCTTTTCCAACCTAAACAATTCTATGATACAGACTTAAGATCAATGTAGTTAAACATCCAAAATTTGATGTAGCTAAGCATGTGAAATGAAGAGGCTGTAAAGGACAACAGTCTACTATTAATATTACTACTAATTAAAGCATGAATAGTTTTATACAAGATAAATTGCATAGCAGAGTTGCAAATCCATGGGTAAATAACAGAAAATATGCAGGTCTTGTGGCAGAGACACCTTTCCAGAGTGGAAAGTTGGTGTGCCCTAAAATGAAGTCAATGAGTCTAATTCCTGTGGATTAGGGAAGTAAACACTACTATGAATAAAAACTGCTGAGACTTCAGTTTTAAGTTCTACCACTGTAGAAGGTGGTCAAGTCTGCTTTATTTATCCATAGCTTCTCTGAAACAAGGAGCAGAGCCGAAGTTGCTTTTGCATGGCTGAAGTGATTGTCTGCATGTGGTCAGGTGTCCTTGAAGGGGATGCTTTCTGAAGGTGGTGTAACCCCTGGGACTGCTGCCCACCAGAACCCCCCAGAAGCTCAGAGCTCCTTAACTTTTGTAAGTGCAGGGAAAGGAAAGCATCTACAGCCAGTAGTAAAGGTCGCTGTCTGCAGGCTTTTTGGTGTGATCTGCTTAGTAACAGGGGAGGGAGGTGAAAGGCATTCCTGATGGGCAGGATTACTGGATAATCTTCCAAAATGAGCCTTATTCCACTAAGAGTTGAAGCAGCTGATTTGAGCCACTTTGAGAAACAAAAACCTTTTTGCAGCTGTTTCTACACACAAGTCTGCTTTGAAAATATTTCAGTGCATTCAAAGAGTAAGGCAAATTGTCCTTGCGGCACCTGTCTTGGAGAAAGTAGCCAAGAGCATAGTGTGTTAAGCAAACCTAAATAACTCTGAACTTTATCAGCTGTATTGACTCAGTTAATCCTTAAAGTTGTGGGACAGCTTCATAATACTTTGAGGAGAGGAGAACTAGTCATCAGGATAACTTCAAGCATCAGAGGGATATATGAAAAACAAAACAAATAAGATCTTTGGAAAAAAGCAGCAATTTTTACAGCATGTTTTTCTGGAATAATTGTGCTTCTGTTTTGGAGCCTGACTAGGAAAACAGATGAAAGCTTCCTTGCACTTAATGCTCTTAAGAGTGTTGTTTGATCTCCTTTGCAGTTACGCAACATGGAATCAATGGGAAAGGACAACAAGTATCCTGTAGTGCTCTTAGTTCTGTTTTTTTTGAAGGGGAGAATACTCAGCAAGGTTGAGCTGTTGTGGCAAGCTTCTTTAGGCTGAATAACCTAATATAGTATCATAATGGCATTGGCTTGCATAGTGTATAGTCTTCATATTTCACTTTCTGAATTGATGTCCTTTTTCACAATACAAAAATGATCTGGTTGGCATATTTTTGCTCTCTGAATTAGTTTCAACTGAAATGAGTTATCAATTAATTAGGCTTGTACTTAGAAGTCAGCTTAATGTCTCCAAAGTATGAATTCACAGTGTGCAACGCTTGCCTCTGGCAAGTTAAAAGCACATCAGTGTGTTAATTACATTACCTTTATTGGCCGGCTGCTAGCACCACAAAGTTTGTGCGCTTGACTGTATCCTACTATGAATGGGTAACGTTGCCCTCCAGTGGCTGACAGCTAGAGGATATAGAGCATGTTTGCACTAGCACTAAAGAATCAATCGCTGGGAAAGTCTGGGATGAGTAGGGTGTTAGCTTAAAACTACATTGTGTTTAAATGGGACAAGTTTTCACACGGTACTAGTACTTAAGTGCTCAATATATTAAGGCTGTGTAGGATGGAAGGTTTTCTCTCAAGCTTTAGTTAAGGAGGACGTAATTTCAGGGGGCTCTCCTATTCATTGCAAGACTCCTTTTTAGCTACTGTCTGATCAGATAAGGTTCTTCTGCAGTATGATCTTGAATTTATACAGAAATCAGAAATAGATTTGGCTTTCCAGCAGTTGCTTCTGAATGTTAACCTTTGAATGAACTTTTCAAATAACCCTAACATAACACCTTTAATAGATTATTACAAAACAAGTAGTCTTACTCTTCTCTAGAGCCACCTCTGCTAGCTTGTAAATCTATGGCTTATTGAATAAACTGATATTCTTATCTAATATATTTACAGCTCAAGTAAGTCAAACTATCTCCGTGACTTAGAATGGAAGGGGAAAGCAATAAACCTGTCTCCACAACGTTGCTAATGTTTTGAGGCTTGACATAGGAAGTAGCTAGCTCCTTTCCCTCATGTTTTTCCCATTCCTTTTATGCAAAGCTAAACAATGCTTATAGAACTCAATTCACTCCAGAGCAGCTGGAGATGAAAATAAGCCGAAGAAGCCTCAAGTCGAAGCTTTGAAGCTGTAAATGTAAAGCAAGACAGTCTTTTTCTCATTTCAGTCTAAAACTGAGCCTTGTCTTTTGAGTACGGACTCCCCAGCCAGCCCCGGCCGTGGCCACCCCGTACGGTGCGGGCGGAAGGCCGCTCGGTGCCGCCGCGGGGGCCTGGGCGAGGTCTGGCGGGGATGCGCCGCTCCCTGAGCGCGGGTCCGGGCTCGGCCGCCCGGGATGCGCTGCGCGCGGGCAGGCAGCGCCAAGGAGCGGAACGGACCGGGAGCCCCGCGGCGGTGCGGTGGGTGCTGGCTGCCCCGCCCCCCCGCTTCCCCTTCGCCGGAGCCTACAAGGCTGGAAGGCGGGGGATACCAGGCGCAGGAGAGCCGCCCGCCGGCTCCCGGCGGGAGCGGGGCTGGCACTGGCCCAGGCGGGCGCGGGGGCGGTGCTGCCGGGGCGGGGCGCGGCCCATCCCCGCGGGGCGGGGGGGCGCGGGCCCCGCGCTGTCCCTGCTGCCAGCTGCCTGCGACGGCCACGCCGCCCCCTGCCCGCTCGGCCATTATTTACCAGCCGCCGCCGCCGTGGTAAACACCGGGCAGGGTGCGCTTGCCGCCGCTCACCGCCCACCCGCGGCCCTTCCCCGCGGCGCCGTGCGGCCCCACCGGCCGCGGCCCCGGGAGCTGCCGGCCCGGCCCGGCCCCGGTGGGTGCGGCCCCTCGCTGACCGCCTCCTCTCCGCGCTCTCCCTGCAGGACCGGTCTGTTCAACATCGGGCTATAAGAAGGCGGATGATGAGATGTCCGGAGCCACGTCCGCGGCGGATCTGGACGAGGCACCAGCCCGCACCATTTACTTGAACCAGCCTCAGCAGAGCAAGTTCCGCGACAACTGGGTCAGGTACAGAGCGGTCCCCGCTTCTCCCCTTTCAGGCGGCAACCCGCACACCCCGCAGCCGTGGGCAGGGAGGGCTTTGGTCCCTCTCCTCCCGACCCTGCCCACACCAGGTTTCAGCACAGTAAAATGCGTCTCTGCCGGAGCAGGCGGGTTTGTTTGGTACGGGGGGCACCAGGGTCTGGCCACTGCACGAGGGAATCCAGCGGCAGCAAGGGAATGAGGTGCTGGAGTTAACGGTAGTGAGAGTAGGGAGCTGATGGAGCTGCATGGGTAAGATGCATGAAAAGATCTGCACTTAAGGAAAGCCACTGAATTTCGAAATAACAGGACCTACTCAAGTATTCCTGTGTGCAAGGGCTAACCCGTGGAAATTTAGTGGGAGTTTTGGATAGAATCCACTATGTAAACTCCATAAAGCGCTCTCTTAAAAAGTTGCATTCAGTTGAAAGAACAAGTAGACTAAGCATAAAAAAAATTGTATAGAATAGCAAGGAAGAAAAGAAAAATATGTCTAACAGGATGAGAATGACTACAGAAACTATAATCTGGTATCCCCATGCATAAAAGGCTGTGGTCCACTTGTGTTCTTTAATTGAAGACCAGAGATAATTTTCTTTGGTGTTTGGAGTCTTTCATTGTAGGTGTGTGTGTTTAAGACTTATGCTGATATGGTTAATGCCATGTTACTGCAGTTTGGAAACACAAATAACATGCAATGAAACATGGAGTATGAAGATGTGTAACATCAGCAAGTTGTGGTGGCTGTGCTCGCCACACTTGCCTGGGGTTAGCTGGGTTAGCTAGATGAACAGATGGCTCCTGCCGTGAATAAGGAGGAGCATTGTTTATCATCTGTTTGTTAGTGCAGATGTTTGGGTTATTGTTCATAGGATACTTTACACAATGAGTACCTCTATGAAAAGAGAAATTTTATATCCTGCTGAAGTGATGATTTCCATTAACTGTTCTATTGTGTGCATTATCAACAGTTAATTCTAAGAATATTCTCTATGCTTGTGTTCTGGCCAGCACAGCAACTTATTTATACTTAGTTTTCTCATTAACTTTGACTTGCTGTATAGTCTTCTGGGAAAGCCTATGGTTTAGGAGCCGTTAAAATGACAGATTTTCTCAGTGTCTTCCTTATCCTACATAAGTAGCAATACTGGATGTTGAACGTTTTCTTTCACTGCTTTATTTTCACTTTACTAATTCAGAAATTACTTTGACCATTTCCTGCGGATAGACTACATGTGCTTTTCCTGACTTACAGAGGGGAAAAGCAGGGAATAGAGGGTTGACAGAATCTGTACTTTAGGTTTTCCAGAAGGGATTCTGTTCTGATTTGGCTAAATCTTATGGAAAAGTAGCATGTGACTCTGCTACCAAGAACTTCTTCCTGACAGTGCTATTACCAGAGAGCAGTTGTGCCTTACTTGCTGGCTGGGAGCCATCCCCTGATAGCTGTACAAGCTTCTCAATACCTTTTTGCATCTTTGCTTCATGACAGGCAGTTTGAGTCATGAGGACTATTTGTGTGTGAGGGATAGGACAAAACACAGGTACTGTAATGGCAAAGTAGACATGTTTTCATTACCTGATTAGGAATCTTAGCTCCTTAGTGTCACTTGGAAATCAAGTTAATTTTATAGTAATTTCCTGCTGCTTAGTAAGAAAGCTTTGATCTCTGACTTCTGAAAGGGTGACAGGCATTGCCTGTGCTCCTTCCATCCTCTGGATTAGCTTTCTTCCCTCAGGCCAGTGGGACTGAAGGCAAAGGTGACTTGAGCTGGTAATATCTGAGTAAGGGGCCCTTGTGTGGAGTGTGAATGGTTGTTTATTTACTGACCTAAGTATATTGGAGTTGCTCTTGAGGAGCTGCAGTTCTGTGTTACCTTCAGACTTTCTTACTTACTATGTTCAGCTTCAGAAACTCATTCAGCACTGGATTTCTCTGGACTGTTGGATTTGCAGATGTATTGTCTCCATAGGAAGCATTAGTGTACCACAGAGCAAGGTGCTGTGTAAGCAGGTAAACACCTCTGTGTGAAGGCTTATGGTAAATTAAACTGAATAAGAGGATAAAACAGCTTGTTTTAAATTATGTGAGTTGTGACTGTCATATTTTTGATAGTCATTATTCTCTGAATAACGGTGGGAATTTGTGAATGTTCATAGAAAGTTTTCCAAATTAAGGGTAGTGTGAAATACCTTGCTCAAAACAAAGCAAAATACAGCAAGCAATAGAGGTGCAGACTGTGAAGTAAGGTAGGCTAGTGATATGGCTGTTTGTGTAAGATGAACTTTTGGGTAGAGAGGCACTGTTAAAAGTGAATTCCAGTGTTTGTGGGAGCAAAAAGACAAAGTGATAAGTACCAATATTTTTTAATTTTGGACAAGTTAAGAAATATGGATAATTCCCTACTACCACTTCTAAATAGTATATGGTGATATTGCAGAAGTTAAGTGGATGGCAAGATGGCATTAACGCTTCCAGAAGTCTCGAAGTGTAAGGATGTAGAAGGAAGAAGTGTTTTTTCTTACCCAGGTTTTCTGGCATAAATGAGATTATGAGGACTTGTAGAGAAATGACTAATTCTTTTTATGTTCTTGGAACTTTGTCACAATCTACTTCAAAACATAGTACTGTGTGTTGTAGGCTGGATTTAGCTTGGCCATTGACATGCACGTGTATATGGCTGTCAGTATTCTTTATTATACTGCAGCAGCACTTCTCCCTTCTGTAGGAACGCCTCTTCTGCCTGTGTATGTGTTACTCTTTAGACCTTTTAATAAAAAGTAACTTATGTTTTGTTTTCAGCTGAAGCATTTTAGAAGCTTTGAAATATGTAAAATGAACAAATGTAATGGCTTTGTTCAATGCAGCTGTGCTTGTGGTATTAAGTATGTTTGTTTTTATGAAAGCTAACTAGTACCTATTTTAACATGTTCAATTTACATGTGTCTGTTTAATCAGAGCATTTCTGTACTTTAAGTTCAGTAAGAAATGAAACATTTATGTTGGGAAAATTCCCAGACACTCTGTACACAGCTGTGTGCCACTTACTGTGACATTTGTGTTCTGGAGCAATCCCTATGCTTACTGAAGCCCTACTTCCTGAGAAGTGGCTGGACATTGCCTGCTGATGGAAAGTAGGGAGTAAGTTTTTTGTTGTCCTTTGTTTCTCGCAATGACCTCTGCCTTTGCTTTATTAAACTGCCTTTATCTTGACATGTGAGTTTTTTCCATCTTATTTTCTCCACTTGGCCTGCTGAGGAAAGGAGTGATAGAATAGATCAGGGAGCACCAAGTGTCAAGCCGAGGTCAACCCACCACAAGTTCAGAAACAAGGTTCTCTATTGCCTTGTAAAACCAGAGGAGTACAGATGGGGTGTGATGAAAGGGGCTTGAATGTTGTGTCAGTACCTCTGACATCCCTGAAGTAATGGCATGAATACTTTTCCAGATGTATATTTGGTGAAGATTGGATATTTTACCTAGAGTGAGCATGTTCTATAAATTTTGCTTTCATGTAAATACAGTTCCTGGATGTTGTTTAGTAATACAAGAATCTACTCTGACATCAGTGGCTTGTGCTGAATGTATAACAGAACTGAAACTTTCTTCTAGTGCATGCAGTAAAAATCTGGTTAAGTGATTTGAGCCCCTCACTTGTTGCGTATGTTAATACTGATGCAAAAGAAGTTGGACTTCTAGTTTATTGATCCAGGAAGAACATGTGTGCTGAGATAACTTTAAGAACATTGGAAATTGTCTCTGAATTTTCTAAGTACATTGGAATTGCTCTTGTAAATGTTGCTCTAGGTGATATTCTTCTACTCCAGGCCTGGTAGTGCATCCTGGTGCAAATCTGATTTGCATCTGAATCAGGACTCCAGCCTCAGTTTGTGACTTGAGTGAGAGGTTGGGGCAGGGCAGCATTCAGGAACGGCAAAATTTGACTTGTTTTTAGTGGATCTTGAATCTAAAAGTCTTGTTTGAAAGCTTCTTATCAAAACAGAATTTGGTGGCTTGATCTGTTAGGGAGGTCCCAAAAGTTACATTCTGATATCCTGAAAATTGAGTTCAGAAATTTTCTTCCATACAGGCAAAAGTTAAATTTTGTTAAAAACAGGTAACGATCAAAAAGCCTTTGGTGTTTACTTTTAAATTTTACGGGATCTTAAGACTCAAGTAAATGGGTGAGAAAAAATTTCTTGTCTCATAAGGCAGAAGCACTTCCACTGGGGAATTCAGCACTGAAGACTGTAGCAAGACTTCTAGTAGCATCATAAGTCCTGTATAAAACAGTCTTCTGTTTATGTGTAATCCCAGACTGTCCCATCCCTGTCTGCAGGAAGCTTGCTTGTGACAAAACTGTAGACACAATCTATATTCTTCCTTTATTCCGTGTGTTGCATTAAATGAAGAGAAGTGCATTGCTTTATTGACTTGTGAATAGGTACTGTAGAAGCCACTTGTGATTTAGAGGCGTTAATGCTTTTTGAATAAGCGGGGAGGTTCTTACTGTGCTTAATGAGTCCCTGCTGCTGAAATACAAGTTGCTGGTATCACTAGCCAATTAGTACTGACCCTTGTAACCCGAGTAGCCTTCACTATGATCTGTGGTTGAAAATGTGTATGCTAGTCCACATTTGCCTGCACTGCCTGAATTTATTTACACTTAGTGATATAGCCCAGTGTTCATCTTGCACTAAAATGTACCTGTGCTCTTTAGGTAAAACTGCCTCCACTTCTATTTATTCTTGGTAGAGTTCAGGCCCTGGCCGTTTATGTTACTGTGTTTGTATTACATTTGGAAATCTTTTCTGTTGTCATGTGAACAGACTGCTTACCTGACTGCAGAACAGCATTTTGAAATTCTTCAAAGAAGGGATGTATTATTGTATTCTGAATGGTACAAGTCTAGTCACGTGTTAAAATAATCCTCTAACTCTTTTCAGTTCTAGGTAGATACTGTTCTTAACTGAAAAAAAAATAG